GGGTGTGGGGGCACCTTTCCCCAGAGGAGACAGTTCTGGGGCTGCCACCCCCTGGCTGGCATACATGGGCCCCCCACCCCCTAGGCAGCAGTACAAGTGAGCCCTGGCCCGGCTCCTGCACCCGGCTCTTAGTCCAGCTCTGCCCCTTCCCACTGCCAGGAACCAGCCACTCCCTCCTGGCACCTGGAGTGCCTGGCGCTCCCCTCCCCTGGTGCCAGGGCCACCAGTTCCCCTCCCTGCCCCCCCAGTGACAGCCCATTCCCCATCCTCTCTCATACCAACCCCTTCCTATGCCCTGGGCTGCCTGGCATCCCAGCCCCCAGTGCCAGGCCCCCTCCTCGGCCCCCCTGCAGCTGATTCCCCGCAGGGCAGGGCCAAGGTGGAGCCCAGCAGTGCCCAGCTCAGGCACTCTGGCTGCAGCGGGCGGGCAGTGCTGCCCCCAGCCCAGCCCCAGCTGTTCCCACGGGAGCGGTGCCAGCCAGAGAGGAGCGGGCGGCTGCCATTGGGCCGGCCGCCGGGATGCTGCAGGGAGGGCGGGCCGAGGAGTGAAATACGATTGCAGAGGAGCGAGCAGGCAGGGACAGAGGAACCGACACTGCAGAGGCTGGGAGCAGGGCTGGGGGCGGGCAGCGCAGGCAGGGCATGGGGCCCCCGGGTGGCTCCCAACACAACAGGTGGGTGCAGGGCCCCTATGCCCATCCCGGTGCCTGGCTCTGCAGAGAGCTGCAGCATGTCAAGGGGGGCTCCCGGGGATGGGGGCCCTAGGGAGGGAGCATCTGTAGGGGATGGGGGGATGCCAGGCTCTAGCGGGCTCTGCCCAGTGGGTGGCAGTGGGAAGGGGGCGCTGCAGCGGGGACGGGGAAGAAGCGGGGATGATTCCGGCGCTGATGGGGACCTGTAAAGTTCTGCAGAGCCTGACCTTGCAGAGAGATGAACTGGTCTCTAGCCAGGCTGGGAGGTACCACCCCCCCCATTCCCTCTCTCCCCCCCCCCCGCATGCTCCAGGGCCCAGACCTACCCCCACTCAGGCAGGAAGGAAATGCCCCCCCCCCAACCAGGACCGGGGGCATGACTGGGCTAGTTGGCCCATCGGTGTGACCCCGCTTGTCACCCATCTGCTCCCCTCGCATGCTCTGGGGGTGTCACACCTGGGGGCCAAAGTCACTGCAAGGAGGCGTCACAAGGACCCGGCTGCCCCGGCCTGGGGAGGCATCAGCATCTGATTTTGCTGATCTCAGCCAGGGCACCGGCCCCTGCAAGAGACAGATTCCCACCCCTGGGGCAGGATGAGCCGGGATCATAGTCCCCTTACGTGAAATGGGCACAGCGGACCATGGGGCGGTGGCTTGAGGATGGGCACGGCTGGTTGGGGGGCACTCGGGGATGGGCACGCCCAATCCAGGAGGGGGGACACTTGGGAGTGGGAATGGCCTGTGCTGGGGGGTGTCGAGGACAGGCATGGCCGGTCAGGGGGGTCGCTCGGGGACGGGCATGGGGG